TTCTCTTCAATGTTCTCATGACATTTTTGAATATTTTTCCAAGCACACAAAAATAAGATTTTCTTGCACTCTGGGTTACTGACAACCTACCTCCTTTTCCCCTCCCGCTACATACACCCACTGTCCTACCTCTCTCCTGACCTCTTCCCCACATACTGGCAAGGTTTGGAACCAAAAATTTCAAATATGGATTCATCACGCCATAAAATCTGTTGCCACTGATTATCAATCCAGTTCTTATGAAAACAAATTTGAGCAAACTGCACCATTCTATAGCAGGTTAAGTTTTTAATAGTTACATAATACCAAAACACATATGTAAACAACATTTATTTAGGGCAAAACAAATTGATATTTTAAACTCTTAGCATAATTTGTTAAAAAATAAAATAAAATAAAATCACAACATGACACAATAACATTAAGCCAGTGTTCCCATAAGGCTGACAGGTACAGCTTTGTTGACATAGGTCACTAAACGGGTTAATTTGCTGCAATGACTGGTTATGGGAGTAATCTGGCGCTAGTACAGTTTGCACACATTAAAAACCACAAAATGCAGAATTTCTGGACAAAGTTGTGATTTTGTGAATTGACCCATATTGATGTGGGTGACTGCCACTGCATCCCAAGCTCAGCTATGAGCAGCAGGCCAACCTAATGCTGTTATATAATGCAGAATGAGGCGCTGATCAGTTGCATAAGCCAGTTATAGGATCATGCTGTCATTGGGGACTCGCTGCTCTCCTCTCCCAGTAGTCCTTTGGTATTCTCAGCATTTCCCTAGGAGACCCTTCTCATCATCGTCATCACCACTGTCAACAGTGACTGCACCTCTAGTCATTGGAGGGTTTGAAGAACCTGGCAACCCATGTGGAAATAAACAAAAAGTACCGCCCTGGAGCCCTGTGACATATTTTAATAGGCAGCCCCAGCAGTCTTCATTACACTCATGTAGGACCTTCATCACAGATCCAAGCATGTGAGGACTAAACATCAAGATAAAGGAAGCCAAAATCCTGGAGTAAAAACATATTTAAAAGTTTCACATATTAAAT